GTGCCTGCACGCACATGCTGTGCAGGCACCCAGAGGGCCTTGGTCAATCCCTGTGCGGGAGGGCTGGACTCAGGGCAGAGGGCCAACACACACACACACACACACACACACACACCTCTTTCAACCATCTGATTTGTTAACTAGGTAGACATAGATCCACTCCAAACAATAGTTCCCACACACTCAAGCCAGGTCTCTGGACCTCCACCACCAAACCCCACCCCCCGAGCACTCAGATGACCAGGGCCTGGCTCTGGGTCTAGGCTGTCCTGCTGACAAGCTCCTCAGGGGGCCTGAGAACGTGGAGCACCCCGGATCTTCAGACTCCAGCAGGGGTGACACCCTGACGGAAAACCCTGTAAGGGGTCATCCCAGCAGGCCCGGCTGTCTCCCCGGACAGCCCTCGTGCCCGGCTCACCTCTCATCTGGAGAGTCCACATGGAAGGTCCGCTCGATGACCGTAGTCCACTGCAGGCAGCGGATGACAAATGTGTTGGGCCGGGGTCTCTCCCTCTTCATGAGCTGGCATTCTGGGGCAGAAGGACGAGGGGCAGTGTGAGTCAAAGCCCAGCCAGCCTGCAGCCTAACTCCCCTGCCTTCCACAGGTGTCCCACACTCCCCACACCTCTCCTAGGGGTCCAGTCCAGCCCTGAGCCAGCTCGGGGTGGAGACCCTTCAGTGATGGGGACAGCACAGCAGCAGCCCTCACGGAGCCTGAGGTCGGGGAGGAAGCACACCTGTAGACCTGTCACCTGGGGGTAGGGAGGGCTTCCTGGAGGATGGAGTGTGCCTGAACTGAGCCCTGAGGAAAAGGTCCTCAGGAAAAGCAGGACAGCGGGGCACGGAGCACAGAGGTCTGGAGGGGAGGGCTCCTCCGGCGGCGGAGGGAGAGCGGCCCAGGCTGGGCTCTGGAAGCCAGTGTGGAGCCCGGACTTGGTCCAAGGGCAGCAGGAGGGTGTGGAGGGGCATGGACAATGTCGACAGATCTCTCTGGCTGCCACAGAGCTGCTGAGATGGCAACCTAGGAGCCCAAGAGCCCAGGGAAGAGGCTGGGACAGGGGCCCAGCACGAGAGTGTGGGGCAGGGCCAGCAGGGGCCACAGGACAGAAGGGGAAGCAGATAGGGCACAGGAGAGGTCTCTGATGTGGGGGCTGGGCAGGCAAGGAGGGACTAGAGATGGGAAGGAATAGAAGGTTGGTGGAGGCCAGTTTAACCACAAGGTCAGCAGTTTGAATCCACCAGCTGTTCCTGGTGAAAAGTGAGGCTTTTTACTCCCATGAAGAGCTATGGTCTCGGAAACCCACAGGAGCAATCCTGCCCTGCCCTACGGGGTCGCCATGGGTCGGAACGAGCGGGATGGGACTGTGTGGTTCAGGACTTTTGGAGGGTAGCTGAGCAGGAAGCCCAGACACAGGAGACACTGGAAGCTGCCCAGGCAGAGGGCATGCTGCACCAGAGGGCAGCGTGAGTGGGCACCTGGGAGAGGGTCCCAGAGTCCAGGAGCCAGAGGCATGTGCCACCAGCTAGAGCCCCGGGGGCAGGCTGGCAGGAGCTGCTGCCACGGGATGTGGAAGAAAAACCTTGTCTTTCCCCTTCCCATCACAGACCCAGTGGGCCCCGTGAGCCCAGGGCCGACCAAGGCAAGAACTGAGGGCAAGGGCAGACAAGTCCTGGACGGGCCCGACTCTTCAAGAATGGCCGAGTCCCGGAGCCCCGACATCTGCCAGGTCATTCTCTGAGCACCCGACCTCGCCCCCTTGTCCTGGGACATACCTGCAACTGAGAAGTTGTTTAAGGGTGGTAAGGACTGGTCGGGGGCCTCGGGCCTCTCCTTGTAGCCAATGAAGGAGCCATCACTCTTCAGCAGGAAGTAGCGGGGCCTCCAGGTCTTGATGTATTCGCCTGGAACCGGGCGCAAGGGGACAAAGTCAGGTCAAGGCTGGGCTGGGCCCCAGGTGGGCAGGTTGCCGAGGGTAACACAGAGTCTGAGGGGATCAGGGTAGAAGGAGGGTGGGCCAGAGAGCACCTCTCCCAGAACACCCTCAAGGCAGCCCCTGCGGGTACAGGGCCCCAGGTTTCAGGAGGTGGCCAGCAGGAAGTTGTCCTTGCCAGCACATGGCCCAGTCCCCAGGGAGGGCTAGGCTTCCAAACACACATGCCCTGTGGCCCTGTCAAACTAAACCCCAGGGAGGGGGCGTGGGGCAGACGGGAAGCTGAGGAGACCAGAAAAGCTCGAGCCAGGATTCAGATGCTCAGTTCCTAACTAGGTGTCCCAGTGCCAAGCCTCACAGCAGGGCCGGCCTATAGGGCGCAGCTGCGCAGGAACTCAAATGTCAGGACACTGAGTGCCAGGCCCTCCCCGGACCAGCAGGCCACCAGGATGGAAGCTGTGTCACTCTGAGCATACATGTACTGGGGGGGGTACGGGGCGGGTGGGGGTGGTGGTGCATGCATGCATGCACACACACTACACATGGCCCCGCACCTCAAAGTGCTGTTAAGGGTTAAAACAAAGCGGTCAGACTACCGGTCTCCACTCACACGAAGCAAAAGAGAACAAGAAGAGCCTGTCCACAGGCCTAAGAGCGCACACAGACAAACAGCCGCCTTCTCTATCTGAACCTACAAGAACCGGATGGTGCCCAGCCACCCGAGTGACCGCGCTAGACAGGGACACAACAGAAGGTCCTGGGCAGAGTGGGACATGAAAATGTGGAACAAACTCAAATTACGAAAGAAGGCCAGCCCTACTGGACAGAGAGACCAGAGGATCCCCTGAGAACATCACTCTCAGAGAGGTTGACCTTGGGATTGCAGCCATTCAAGCTTCTCAGCCCAATTATAATAGAGGGGGTCACAAGCTAGACTGTGTCCATCCCTCAGGATTGAACCATGGACTATCTGCGACCCCACTTACTCAAAAGCCAAGGTGAGCTGGCAAGAGGGCAAGGGGAGCTCAGCTGACAGCAACGGAACCACGGGGAGTGCAGCCAGGTGGGCACCTGGTGAAAACCACAACCCAGGGTGCTGGGCCATCGGGAGACACAATGTTAAAGGGCCCTAATCTGCTGTGTAAACTCACCTAAAACCC